CTAAATTGTGTGACTTTTCCAACACCAACAACAATGATTTTATTAGCACTTCGATTGCTCCTACTACTAATTATGAATCTTGTGAAACTAATGCCGCTTTGCTGAATCTTGTTATGAAAGATCAATTTTCTGGCCCTCTTAGTGAAGATGCCGCATCCCATCTAAACAATTTCATTGATTTGTGCGATATGCAAAAGAAGAAAAATGTGGATAATAATATTGTTAAACAGAAGCTATTTCCATTTACGCTAGAGATCGTGCTAAAACTTGGTTCTCATATTTACCTAAAAATTTACCTAAAATTTAGGTCACCCGTGGGCTTTAGCCCCTTTATTGAACCACCATCTTCATGCTTGATCTTGGGCTTCATATGATGAATCACCTTTGCGTAACCCGTCCTCTCCTAGGCGGCTTACAAAAATAGTTATATCCCCAACAAGTACCGAGGGTGAGACCTCATCAACACTTCTGATGTTAACCCTGTAGTGTAGCTATTCGGTCGTGGTCATCGAGGGTGATTTCCTCTTTAACCACTTCCAATACGACTCTGTCGTGCAACCACTCAAGTGTGAACCTAGAGGGTGGTCCCTCTTACATTCACCTTGATGATTACATCGAGTGGAATTCACCGGGGGTGATTCCTCGGGTTTTCCCCTTTATGCTTGGACACACGGTTACTATGACTTTACACCGAACCATGTTACTAAAGACGGGTCGACCCTGAGGGGTACCCGCGCGAGCATAATTGCGAGTGATGTGGAGTCGGGTTGACCTGGAAGGCGCCCGCGAGATAATTATGAGGCATGGTCGGGCATTCTTAGCCCTTGCAGCAAGTCCTCGAGACGGGGCAACGGGGTCACATCTTTCGTGAGTCTCTGCTTGTTACCGCTCGTTCCTAATCCACTACGATTTGGATATTTGATCCGAGGGGCCTCTGGCCTGATATCACTAACCATCACGTGTCATAGTATGGGCGTTCTACGTCATATACATCAGTCGAAGCTTAATAGACGTCAGCGACTGAGCAGCGCGCGCCGGGTTGGACTGCGTAAGCACCTGCCTTTTTGAAGGAGGTAGCTAGGTCTGCTCACCGGCCGCCCTCGCAACGTGCAGGAGTTCCCGGGGCGATGGCCATGACCCCTGGGGGCATAGGTTTAGTCCGGCGTGCTGACCTCTCTATTAGGCCTAGGTCGTGTTGCGGCGTATTGTTTGGCCAAGGCCGGGCATGACCCAGGAAAGTGTGTCCGACCGGAGTTAATCGAGCATGGTGGGTAAGTTGGTGCACCCCTGCAGGGAAGAAAACATCTATCGATAGCCTGTCCTACGGTAACGGACACTTGGAGTTATATCCCGATCGATACAACTAGAACTGGATACTTGTGATGAGAAATGGATAGTATGGCTCTGGGATTGCTTTCTCGCAGGAAGTCGAGAAAGGATCTCTGGCCGAGGTTGATAACACTACTACTACTTTACTTTATGCTACTCTACTCCCTCCTGTTTGCTGCAAGATGGTGGTTTCCAGAAGATGCTAGTCTTCGATAGGACTAGGCCTTCTCTCTATTCTGGCATTTCTGCAGCCCAGTCCACATATACAGCCTTTTTTTGATAATGTTGCATATGTAGTGTAGATCCTTGCTTGCAAGTACTTTGGATGAGTACTCACGGTTGATTTGCTCCCCTTTTCCCACCTCTTTCCATTCTTCCCGGATGTTGCAAGCAGATGGTGGAGCCCAGGATCCAGACGCCACCTTTGACGACGACTGCTACTACACTAAGGGTGCCTACTACTACGTGGAGGCCGCTGACGACCAGGAGTAGTTAGGAGGCTCCCAGGCAGGAGGCCTTGCCTTTTCGATCGATGTTGCTATTGTGCTAGTCTTCTTAAGGCAAACTTGTCTAACTTATGTCTGTACTCAGATATTGTTGCTTCCACTGACTCTTGTGTTTTCGAGCTGATGTATTCGAGCCCTCGAGGCCCCTGGCTTGTAATATAAAACTTGTATTATTTTAATTTGTGTTTAGAGTTGTGTTGTGATATCTTCCCGTGAGTCCTTGGTCTTGATCGTACACATTTACGTGTATGATTAGTGTACGATTGAATCGAGGGCGTCACATGCGCCTTTGGCCCGAGCCCAGGAGAAGGGAGGAGCCACCATCAGCCGCACCCCACCGTCGAATGTTGCCACCAACATGCTAACCCCATGCCGACGACCGATGCCCCCACCAAGCACCCACCATAGCTCTGGCCAGCCTGGAGCAGAGCAGAGCCCACATCAGGGGCAACCCCCGCAGCCGGAGGCAGCCCTGGTCCAACCGCAGCGCCGGGCGCCAGATCTGGTCGATCTAGATCGGGCCGCCATGGCCGCCACGGGCGCGAGCTGCCAGCCAGGCCAGGCCGGATCGGCACCGGCGAGCAGCCCACACACAGCCCCGCCGCCGTCACCCTCCACCCCCTGCGCGCTACCAAGCAAAAGCCGGCACCACCGAACCACCCGCCGCCACATCCAACCGCCCGACCAGGCGCGCGTAGCCCCGCCACCCCACGCCGGTCCAGGCCTACGCAGCCGCCACATCGTCCGCGCCCGCCCCGCGCCACAGGCCCGACCGCCCAAGACGCTGCCGCCGCGTCCCGGCGATGAACGCCGCATCCCGCGCTACGAGCGGCCACCCAGGAGGAAGAAGGCCCCGCCGCCGCCTACGCCAACCGGGCTTTTCCCGGCGGCGCGCGCCGGCGGTGGCGAGGAGGGGGAAGGCGAGGGTTAAGGCGGCGGCGGCGCGAGCAAGGGTTTCGCCCGCCGCTCACAGGAGCGGGCCGGGCGAAGAGGTGATCACCGCCCGTGTATTTGCACCATCTCTTGCAGTTTGATTCTGGAACCATCAAAGATAGCCTATCACCGACGAAAGTACCTTTCTACACCTGAGCTCATATGCTCCTGCTACGAACAGTGGAATGAATAAAATAGAAAAACATTTCAAAAAATTCTGAATTTTTTTGTGGGATACTTTAAGAAATGTTTGTTGTGCACGCAAAATTTCATCACGAAATCACATTGGTGGAGGTCGTCGCAAAAAAAAAACAAAATCAGAGCTCCAAAATGCGTTTGAAAGTAACATTTTCAGAGTATCGTTTTTGTTTTTTTTACCATGCCTTCCACCAATGTCATTTCATGATGAAATTTTGCATGCACAACAAACATTTCTTAAAGTATGCCACAAAAAAAATTCAGAATTTTTTGAAATATTTTTCTATTTTACTTATTTTACTGTTTATAGCAGGAGCATATGAGCTCAGGTGTAGAAACTCCACGTCCTATCACCGAGCTTTATATTGTTACTATTGAGTTGCAAACCACTACTACTCTCTCACACAACAACCCTAGCTGCACTCAAATTAATTTATGTCCATGATCTCTTCTCCACTTCGAATCCTCTCCAGCCCTGCCATTCGCCTATCCATCTTCCCGTTAGTGATGACTTTTTCACTAGAATGTTGCCATTTGTTAAGGGACTACCGACAAGTTCCCAACATCCTTTCAATGGCGACCAACGAAAAATCTCTGAAACTACGGATCGAACATTAAACCCTTTAACAGCCGCTACAAGGGCGCTCGCTCGCACGTGCCACGTAGGATCGAACGCGACAAAAACGGCTCTCAGAAAATATCTCAGCTCGCGCTGCACGCGTTCCCCTTTCTCCCTGCTCGCACGCGACCTCCTCGTCTCCCTCGCTTTCGCCTCTGCTCCGCCGCCCCGCGCTGCCACATCCCACTCGCCGACGTCGGCCTCGCCGCAGAAACGGCGGCTACGGCGGAGGCGGGCCGGGAGGGCGTGGTCTTGGCGGTGGTGGGCGTGGGTACAGCCCCGGCGGTGGGCGTGGTGGGAACGCGTGGGATAGGGCCCGCCGGAAGACCCGGGGATTACGCCCCGGTGAGGGCGCCGGCGCCGGCGCCAGCGTCTGCGGCGAGGAGGGTTGAGTCCGAGGAGGCGGGGGGCTCATCTGGATCCGTCGGTAAGCGCTTTCCCCTGCCCTGCTTAACTTAGCATACTCTGTTCCTAAGCAATGTTCAATACCTTGACGGCTCGTCAAGTAATCTAGGGATTTGTGATGGTGAATTGAGTCTACACAGTATGGTTCCACTTGTTTATGCGATTGATCAAGGCGTTCCTTATCTCTCTGTGCTGATGGTATAGCAGGGAACTTCTTATCGTTGACTAGAATGATGGGAGTGCGATCACTGTATTTTGTTCGGCCCTTGCAGATTTGTGCACTATTCTTCTTCCTTGAGATGCTAGATTAATTTTCGTACCATCCTAGCATTGTGTGATATCCTCTTCCTCGAGTTAGCTTAGGTTTCATATAATTTTGTGTTCAGTATGGATTGAAACAAGTAATTATAGATGAGATCTATCTGAATGATAATCTCCACTAGATCTTGGCTCATACTCCTACCTGTTAGTGATTAACCTTATATCAAGTTTGTATCTGGAGGAAGCATTTAATTTGAGGATGATAAGGTTGTTACTATAGTTGTTATGCAAAACAAGCGAGAGGAATTTGTGGCAATGCCTTGTTTAGGCACACACTTAAATTACTAATTTTGAATAATTTGCAATTTTTATTCCACTGTTTGCACATGAGAGTTATTTGTTTGAGAGGATACAGAGCACTTGTGAAAAAGGGAAAACTAGGATTTCAGGTAGCCTTATTTTGTTTGCCAGCTTGCAGTTTAAGAAGATTCAGACACTGTTTAATTTTACCGAAAGTTCTGAATGATTAACAATTTTTCCTATGTTGACTTGGAAAAAAAATCGTATTAGAACATAAGCTCGAAGGAAAAGATATATTTTTGTTGAGTATTTGGCTCGTGCAAATTTACCTTGTTTCTAATTCTAACTAATCTTCCTTTTTCACTAGAACGCATCAGCTCCAAAGAAGTGGCAAAATTAGAACCATTAGCGCCCCCAGTGCTGTGTCTCCCAATGGCATACGTGTGCCCATGCAAAGACCTGATGGTGGTGGAACATTATGTCAAGCCAGGGTCCAGCTTTTGGTAAACCACTTCATAGTCAAGTACTCAAAGCTGTCAACCTTTTTTCACTATGACATAGATATCAAGTTTGATCCAGCGCCTTCAAAGGTTTCTGGCAAGGAGCTCTCCAATGCAGATTTTCTTTCTGCAAAGGCCGAGCTTTTCAAGGATGACAGCTTTCGGCAGCTTTCATCGGCTGTTGCTTATTATGGAAAGAGAAACCTATTTACTGTTGCACAACTGCCAGAAGGTTTATTCCGTGTCAGAGTTTGTTCAAAGACCTACATTGTATCAGTAGAGTTCAAGAAGCAGCTTCCTCTAAGCCAATTCTCGGAGCTGCCTGTGGCTAGGGAGATCTTACAGGGTCTTGATGTCATTGTGCGTGAGGCTTCTAGCTGGAGCAAGATTATACTTGGTCATGGATTTTACTCACCACAAAGCAAAGCGGATATGGGGTCAGGTGTTGTATCTATGAAAGGAACCCAGCAGACCCTTAAACACACTCAGCAGGGACTGGTCCTATGTGTCGACTATTCAGTTATGCCATTTCGCAGAGATGGACCTGTTCTGGATATTGTGCGGCAGTTTATAAAGCCCCTTCCCCTTGACTACAGGACAACACTAATTTTTTTATTAATATAGCCTCTTTGAAAGTTGCTTGGCATCAATGACAAAATATATTTTTCGAAAAAGAATGACAAAATATATAAAGATGGCCACTTCTAAATTTGCTTCAAGGCACTGAAACAAAATATTCCATACCTCAACTTTAAATTAATATGTTCCTTGATATAAGGAAACAAACTTCTAGAATTTATATACTCAAATGTATCTTTTGTTTATCGTATTATAAGCATGTGTTTCTCTGCTCAGTGATATTTCAATCGCATTAGTCAATGACCGGAACTGTCGTCTTTCTTGGGGGATAATTTTCAGTGCTGAGATAAGTTGTGTGTGTGGCACGCGTGCTGTTTCGGTTGTTTATGTGCGCTGAAGATTGTTCATGCCCGTATCCTGAAGAAAGAACGCAAAATTATCCATAACTATTTCTTGATAATAAAGTATATATAGCTCATTGGCTCCATCACCTTAGTTTGCAAAATAATCTATAATCATATATTATTGTGGATAATTTTTCTATTAACAGTTATATGGATCCTTGCAGACTCAAGATAGATTATAGATATACCTGGATTATGTTCATCCAGGTTCAGTTAATAAGTGCATTAGTCAACACTGTGGTGCGCTTGTTAACGTATCGTTTGCATAGCCAACTGCATACAAGACATTATGAGCGTTTGAGCCACAGAATTTTGATGGATTACTTCTGATGGCATATGCTGAAATTCTCTCCTTGGATTAGGATCATCCGATCATGTAGCAAAATCAAAGATAGAGTCGACATGGATAACTGTGCTAAATAGAAGAGGTATAATTGTCTGCATCAAAAGCTTCTGCGCCTTTTCAGATGACAAATACAGTTGCTGCTAGCTTCACTATGGCTTGTTATCTGAAGAAAAAAAACATTATGTCTTGAATTCATGCTAAACAAGATTGGTTCTAATGATCATGTTGTCGTAAGTCATCACCCTTTCTGTCAAAAGAAAGGGTTCACATGGGAAATTTTGTATGTGAAATGTGAAGTGAATCTGTGTTCTCATGCATTCGTCATCCACGTATATTCTGTCTCTACAAATGCCACATCCTTTATGCCAACAAAGAAGGTGCTATGAGACATTGCAAACTTGTGGTTTCCCCATGATAATAACTGGCCTGACTTGTGACATATTAATAACCTTTTTCCTCAGCAAGTTGTTGCTTGTGATGATTGATACTTAGCCAATCCAGAAAGGTCGTAGAGATGGCTGACTCCATCATGTTCATGCGTCACCGCGAGAAGAAGCAGCAGATGATTGGCATGAAGAAGACCCTTGTGTTCCACCGAGGACGTGCCCCGAAAGGGGAGCGTACTGGTTGGATTATGCACGAGTACCGCATCATCGAGCTAGAGTTTGAGTCTGGCGAGCTGGTATTGGTCTCTTGTCTGAGCAGGTATGGGTCTCTTATCTGTTTCTTTCTCAGTTCTTCGTGACAGTGCTATTAGATTCAGTTCACAGTTCAGTTCTAAGTTCTTAGATATAGCAGGCTCATTGATGGAACATCTTCGGAAACCTACCATTTTGATTTTATCATGTAAAATGAAGTAACACCATAATCAACACAGTACAAATCTGATTGTCTGCATGCTATGAGCACTCAATGAATAAACATTTTTTTGCCCCTGGATTGGCAATGGTTACTACTACTCATCTGATACTTCTGATGTGATATTTGTGTACTTTCAGGGTTGTTATGTTATCTACCGCCTATTTCAAAAGCAAGTGGACAAAACCGAGAGCTCCATTCTGGAGGAAATGGATAGAAGTGGCTACTCTCTTCCACTCCTGACAACATGGAAGCAAACGAGGAAACTATCACTCTTAAATAAGGAATCTCTTGAATCTGGTCTGCATGGATGTCCAATTGAGTTGCCAGGTACAATTGAAACTCTTGGTGCACCGGTTACGAGGTTGCTTGCAGACCGAAATGGCAATTCAGGGACAGATGAAGTAAATGTTTTAAGCATGCCTTTTCGTGGTAATGTTGATGAAAGTCTGAATGTGAGGAGAACTCTCTATGTACAGTCTCTCAAAGTGAATTCAGGTCCTCATAATAATTTATGATATATAATAAAGCAGGCGGACATGTCGGTTCGCTCTTTGGCGCACCTAATTGATTCACATGCAAAAAATCTTGGTTCTCATGAATTTTCAACCGTTTCTGCCCCCATGTTATCGCATGAAGATGCCATGTTGAACGATCTTCTACTTCATTTACCTCATAAGTCAGTGGAAGATTTTTTGAATGAAACAATTGCTGATCTAGATGAGCATTCGTCGACTGCATCTACTAAAGTTCAGTATGATCCAGACACTGGGATCATGCAGGTAATAATTATTTTGGCTCTGCTGTATATGTTATGATTATTGTCTGCCTTCTTATATTTGTTTGTTCTCGGCAGTCTCAGGGTGAGTAGCTATATGATGACACAGATCTGCAACCAAGTGAATTATATGACAATGCAGCATTGTTCCTTATGGCACTAATCCCCAGATGTACTCCATGGACTCCAGCGACGAGTCTTGCAAGATTTGTTCAATAGCATGGACGATTCATTTGTGCAGAAGGATGCATGGAGCAATGGATTTGGATTTAATCCCATGCATCAGCAGTTACAGTCTAATGTGCGTACGAACTATATATTTTCCCAACAGGGCATTGCACCAAGGAGGCTTCGGCTACTGGATTCATTGTCTGATGTCAATGTTGAGAGTAGAGAGAGCATGACCAGAGATGAACATGAAGATGAAGAATCAAATATTGTGACTTGGAAATATATGAGTTAATCTGTTGAGTAATCTGCAGATGTAAATTATTCTAAATCAACCGGGATTACTATTATGAGCTGGCGTTGTGATCTAACTTCAAGTGTGCCTTCCGACTATGATGACATTCAATTAATGGGGATTACTATTATGAGCTGGCGCCCTGCTCCAAGTTCATGCCAAGGCAACATGGGTTAATATTATGAGCCGACACGCTACTCCAAGTTCAAGCACAGATAGCTCATTTCCCAGTGAACAGGGGAATGCAATGCGAATGTTATGGCTACAATTGAACCTTGACGCAGGATCATGTTCCAGTGTTGATGGTTCATCAAGTTGCATCATAGAAGATGGAAGTGGAAATGAAGGGCTGGAAGCCAACGTGATGTCTTCTTACTTACTCTTGAACTAATTCTTCAACTGGAATTTGTGGAGAATCACAGAGGGAGACTATTGATCAAGTACTACAGGAGCGAAACAGTGGCTACACTGCTGTTCAATCCTCATTTTTTAAACACGTCAATTCTGATTTTATAATCTGACCCATGCTTATTCTTTCATTTGCGATCTTCTTTATTATTCATCTGCATTGCGGGTCAATTTATCCATCTTTCTTCATGATTAAATTAGTAACTCTTTTCGAAAGTTCCGAGTTGTGTACTATCATTGGTTAGTTGTTAATTCTACCGTGGTATTCGTCCTTCTCGCTCATGCCTGACAGATGATTGATTTTCAAAGTCAACATCAGGGAATGCATTTGTACAGGATTTCAACATACATACTGACATGGAAAACATATACAATAACATGGGAGTTTGTCCACAGAACGAGATACACACTTCTTTGTTTCAAATATTTTTTCAGTAATTTTGGTCAAGCTGATGACAAACGTCTTATGCTTTTCACATTATGTTTTCTTTATTTTTGGGATGCAGTATGCTTTGGGAGATGCTGACTGGCAGAGAACATCTCCAGTTTTATGGTAGATACACACTTCTTTGTTTCAAATATTTTTTCAGTAATTTTGGTCAAGCTGATCACAAACGTCTTATGTTTTTCACATTATGTTTTCTTTATTTTTGGGATGCAGTATGCTTTGGGAATGCTGACTGGCAGAGAACATCTCCAGTTTTATGGTTGACTGAAGAGCCTTATTGGTTCTGCTTTGGATCTTGTTAGTTATAACAGTTCACTAATCACATAGTGCATTAGCATAATCTCTAAGGTAAATCCAATATATCTTCTAGGAGAAAAACCGATGTATGCTATTGCTTTTAAGATTGACCATCAGTTTTATGAAAGATAGGTTTCCTGACAACTAGATACTTTAACTTCTATTGATTATATATCATGGTCTTAGAGCAAACTTTAATGTTATCATGTAGTCATGGGTATTTGTGTCCTTTCATCTGCTTGGGACTAAAAATCATTTGCAGTTGCGTAAACCGCTTGATTTTATCCTGTTTCTTGCGAAAATTTATTTGCTTGTGGAATCTGCCCATTATTCAGAAAATGTTTGTTGCAGAGTTCTGGAAGAAAGTTCCTTCAAATGATCCTTATCGTGTCATACTCGGTGATTTCAGGGATAAATTTCATCTGCTAGGACGTTCTCGCCATATATTGACAACTGGAGTTTCAGGCATCCTGAGGAGTCAGCTGTTAACTAATGTCGCGCTGGTGAGTCACAGAGTTAGTTTGTGTAAAATAGATAAGAGAATGTCTGCTAGCTTCTTAGGCATTGAAGAATAAACAATGAATCTCGTGCTACATATACTAGGGTGATGTACAGGCACAGCCTTTGCTTTGTTTGTAAACAAGCGAGTAGCCATTCTACTCTTGTGTACGCTGAGCATATGCTTTGATGTATTTCTTTAGATTTTGGTATGAGTTGGCCTATTTATATTGTGATATATTTACATAATGCATTCAACAAGTAAATCATGAAGTATGCATCTATACGGGAAAAGAACCGCTCAAATTTGACGTGCATCAAATACTTAGATCAGTCGGTGCCTTTGTTTTGTTGCCCCCAGTGTGTTTTAGTTGTGATTTTGCATCCCGCCGAGTTTGAGAATATGGTTAGATTAATTATACTCTTGGTCATGGTATGTCTGATTTTAGGTGCTTTATGGTTTATGGATTGATGGCTCTGAAAATAACAAACTTATTGAGTGAATTTGGATCCGTAAATGTGACTGATGAACAAAGACTACAGAG